ATATATATATACACACGCGCTCACCAGCCACTTTATTAGGTACACCTGTTCAATTGCTTGGCAACACAAATTGCTAATCAGCCAATCACATGTCAGCAACTCAATGCATTTAGGCATCTAGACCTGGTGAAGATGACTTGCTGAAGTTCAGATCAAGCATCAGAATGGGGAAAAAAGGAGATTTAAGTGACTTTGAATGTGGCATGGTTGTTGGTGCCAGATGGGTTGGTCTGAGTATTTCAAAAACTGCCGATCTACTGGGATTATCACGCACAACCATCTCTAGGGTTTCCAGAGAATGGTCCAAAAAAGGAGAAAATATCCAGTGAGTGGCAGTTGTGTGGATGAAAATGCCTTACTGATGTCAGAGGTCAGAGGAGAATGGGCAGACTGGTTGCTGCGACATTCAGATGGCAGGGTTAGAATTTGGCGTAATCAACATGAACGCATGGATCCATCCTGTCTTGTATCAAAGTTTCAGGCTAGTGGTGGTGGTGTAATGGTGTAGGGGAGATTTCCTTGGCACTTGTAAGGTGTACCTAATAAAGTGGCCGTGAGTGTATATATTAAAATTGTTATATGTTTTTTTTAAAGCTTGTCTTTGCAAATTTGTCTTAACCTTTTGCCTTTCACTACACTTCCGTGTATCAGTACTGCTTGGACCTATAAGTAGGGGTTCATCCTAGAAACTCGTCCTTAAGAACTGTTAGTATGAATAAAAAAAGTATCATGGACAGTAGTCAAGTGCATATTCATTACTGAAACACTTCGGTTCCTGATGGTACTCTGACAGGAGATTCTCACTTCCCTTTTCTATGATATATTTATATATCAGGCTGTATTTGTAGGCCAAATCATTTTTGACCAAAGGTCACCATGTTAGATTAGATAAACTCTTTATTTGCAGAGGTGACAACACAGAAGTCTACTCTGGTTTCAGCAGGAGATAATGGGCCTTGCTCACACCGGTGTGGGCTTATAGGAACCCATTACTCTGTTCTAGCTCATTAGTTATGCTGTTGCCAATAGGGAGCTGTTAATCAGTTTCATGTAAGTTATACTGTAACTGAACCCCAGCGGTGAAATGCATACTGACAGCTGGGATGTATCAGCATTCATCTATACTCTAACCAGAGGAGGGGCTGTATGTTCTCCCTGAAAGAAAACAGTTCATCTGAAAATAGTCATCCTCGTCTCCGGTGACAAGATTTACCTACCGTGTTCTCTATTACCACCCCGCAAAGAAACAGCACCCTTCACAAGAGAACTCCCTAATATTTTTATGCTTCATTACGCAGGGAGAGCAATGGCTGCAGCAGCTGGGCACCCCAGGAATTCTGATAAGGGGGGATCACAGCTGCTAAGGTCTTCAAGAGATATAAGAATCAGGGGCGGACTGACCATTTGGAAACTCGGACACTGCCCGAGGGCCCGGGGTCAGTAGGGGGCCCCATGAGATGCCCCTGGTACCTTTTTCATAGGCTTTTTTGAGTTTGGGCAAGGACACAGGGGCCCCATGATCCCCTATTGCCCGAGTGCCCCATGAGTTGTCAGTCCACCCCTGATAAGAATGCATGCCATTTAAAGTGTTACTTAACCCTGGACCCTGCATTCACTATATCTGATCTCCTACAGTACATACAACATGGAAATGCAATTATTTTAGTAAATACAAACTGCTAAATACCTTTTCTCATCAGCAGTATATAGCGGTCTTGTGACTTCTATCAGTGTCCAGCAGAGCACTGATTAAAGCTTAAATAAATCAATAAACGTAACCACTTGGTAACTGCGCTATAGACGAATGACGGCTACAGCGTGGCTACCCAGTTCTGGGAGGGCGTCATATGAAGTCCTCCCAGAACGCACACCCCCGGCGATCTCCATGATCGCTGTGTCCTACGGACACAGCTGATCACATGATGAGGTAAAAGACCAATCACAGTGGCCTTTTACCATGTGATCAGCTGTATCCAATGACACAGCAGATCACAGAATAAATAGTTATCGGCAGCACTTTCCTCACGCTGTCACAGCATGAGGAAAGTACTGCCGATAACCTACAGCTGTTACAGAAGAGATCGGCACTGATCATCAGGGCACTGATGATCAGTGCCCTGCAGTGCAGCAGTGTCACCCACCAGTGCCCAGCAGCACCACCCACCAGTGCCCAGCAGTGCCACCCATCAGTGCTGCCAGTCAGGGCTATCAGTCAGTGCCATCAGTCAGCGCCGCCCGTCAGTGTTGCCCATCAGTGCTGCCTATCAGTGCCAAAAATTGCTGCATATCAGTGCAGCATCATCAGTGCCTCCCCATCAATGCCCACCAGTGCCACCTCATCAGTGCTGCCTATCCGTGCCACCTCATCAGTGCCCATCAGTGCTGCCTATCAGTGCAGCCTCACCAACACACATCAGTGAAGGAGAAATATTACCTGTTTGCAAAATTTTATAATAGAAACAAAGAATAACTTTTTTTTTCAAATTTTTTGCTCTTTTTTTGTTTATAGTGAAAAAAACAAAACACCCAGTGGCCACCAAAAGAAAGCTCTATTTGTGTGAAAAAAATTTATAAAAATTTCATATTGGTACAATGTTGCATGACCGCGCAATTGTAATTCACAGTGCAAGAGAGCTGAAAGCTGAAAATTGGCCTGGGCAGGAAGGGAGTAAAAGTGCCCGGTAGGCAAATGGTTAATGCTGCGCTGCTATTGTACAGTATAAATACAAAATCATCAAACAATTATATATAAAAACATCAAATATACATAAAAAACGTGCATAAATCATAATGTAAATACATTTTAAAACACAATTTCCATAAAAGCAAGTCTGCAACTGCACTGCATGTGACAATCTTATTGTGCAGGCCATATTCTCTGTAGGAAGATGAGGAAAATAAATATTGTACATGCCCCATGTATACTGTAAAGGGATGGTCAGGGAAGGAATTTCAATAAAAGTTCTGCTTTAGTTTTTCCTACCTGGTGATTATGATCACATGAGTGTTTGTTTCTTAAAATACCATCAACTTCCTTTTACTCACCATCATGATACTTTTGTGTCAGTGTCAGACCGGACATGAAGGTTACACATCGGCTGGCACAGAACCGTCTTGTTCTCTCTTGCAGATAATAAAAGCGATTCTATTCTATTTATTTCTGAACTCTACATAAAAGGACTGCAGCATATGGAATCAAACTGCTGATAGCTAAAATACAACTTTGATCTTTTGGAGTAATATTTTCCTACAGCTGACTTCCTGTAGTTATCCCACTGAAGGACACCATTGGCGGATTTGGTAAACTTGGCTTCAATTTCAGCTATTTTAGCTTTTGGTCTATACATTTCAGTATTTTGCAACATTTTTATTAATACAAAGTGATGTATTTTAGGATGAGTAGTCTTTTAGCCTGGGTTTACACTGATGAGGTGCGAAATTCGCGCCGGTTTCTGTGCGAATTTTGCACCACATCATAATCGCACCCCGTTTCAAATACAGACACTTACCCTTCCCTCGGTCCAGCGGTGTCTGCACCATGGCTGGGTTCAGCAGCCATCTTCTCTCCCTGGCTCCGGCATCTTCAGTGTGGGCACCAGGCTGTGACAGCTTGTGGCTTCACAGACGGGTGCCCACACGCGCATGCGCGAATAATGCTGCGCTTTGTGAATGGTTCCGTAGTCTTTTGGGACCTGTCACATGTCCCAGAAGACTACGGGGAAGGAGGAGGGAGGGCAACTTCCGCTTCCGATCGCCTTAGGCAATCGCAGCGTTAGTGGGAGCGGGCACCTGTCAAATTCGGGTACCAGTTCCCCCCGCTCCTCAAAGGTGACAATCCTTAATGGGAAGCGGGGGACAAAGCCTTAAAGCAGAAATTCCTCTTTTGGGTGGAGCTCCTCTTTACGTTAACAACACCCCGAAATCAGTTTGCAAAACCTGTTGCGATGAGCAGATCAGATCACATGGGTGTGAATATCTATGCAATCTGATTCTAGTGCGAACAAGAAAAAGGTGCAGATGCGGTGGGATCTGAACCATACAAACAGTATAGCTCAAATTGCACTGCACAGAATTCGCATGTGATTTGCACAGGAAAGTGGTGCAGTTCTTGTGCGAATCACATGCGATGTTCCGCACTGCAGAAGTGTGAACCCAGGCTTAGCTTAGGTTCCCCCTTACGTGGTGCGGGAAAGGCTGAGATCCAGGCACATTTCCAGCACCCCATTACAATTGTACTGCATTTGCGATCTGCAGTGAATGTCAGTTCAATCCTATTGACGCCCCAAACGCAGCTCGCAAGCGTAGTGTGTTTGCCTGCACCAGATCGCTCCAGATCGCATGGTACAAAGCGACCATGTGTTCCGGTTGCTGTGCAGTTTGAAAACTAGTACATGCACATCTTTGGTGCGATGCAGTGCGATCTGAGCCTATTCAAAATGAATGGACTTAAATCGCACCACACTGAATCACATGTTAATTGTACAGGAATGTGGTGCAGTTTACATGTGGTTCATAGTGTGAACTGAGGGACAAGTGGTATAAAAATGATTTCTTACTATGAAGCAAATTTGGTCTTAAGCTGGCCATACACGGCTAGAATATCATTTGAAAAGGTCTGTTTTCAAAATGTTTGTTTGTTTGATTTCTAATGGTTATTTGCAACAAATCAACAATTGTTTTCAACCATTAGGATCGACAAAAAAAAAAAAAAAAAATGTAAGATTTCTCATGTTTATATTAATGTGGTCCCCATTGTGCATGTGTGTGCTAGGAAATGTTTAATCCAGAATTAGAACTACTTTTAAACAATTATGTACAGTATAGGATTGTATTAAAGAACAATAAAGGTTTCTGCATAGTGTATGCAAATCCGGATTTATAAGTAGTTTCTGATATATACACTATATTGCCAAAAGTATTGGGACGCCCCTCCAAATTATTGGATTCAGGCGTTCCAATCACCTCCATGGCCACAGGTTTATAACATCAAGCACCTAGGCATGCAGACTGCTTCTACAAACATTTGTGAAAGAATGGGTCGCTCTCAGGAGCTCAGTGAATTCAAGCGTGGTACCGTGATAGGTTGCCACCTGTGCAAGTAATAGCCTGGTCACAGCATTTATAGAACATAAATGAGCACACATCTGGACTTGCTCACATACACTATATTGCCAAAAGTATTGGGCCAGCCCCCAAATCATTGGATTCAGGTGTTCCAATCACCTCCATGGCCACAGGTGTATAAAATCATCACCTAGGCATGCAGACTGCTTCTACAAACATTTGTGAAAGAATTGGTCGCTCTCAAGAGCTCAGTGAATGCAAGCGTGGTCCCGTGATAGGCTGCCACCTGTGCAATAAGTCCATCCGTGACATTTCCGTGCTACTAAATATTCCACGGTCAACTGTTAGTGGTATTATAATAAAGTGGAACAACTGGAAACAACAGCAGCTCAGCCACCAAGTGGTAGGCCATGTAACATGACAGAGCGGGGACAGCGCATGCTGAAGCACACAGTGTGCAGAAGTCGCCAACTGTCTGCAGAGTTAATAGCTAAAGACCTCCAAACTTCATGTGGCCTTCAGATTAGCACAACAACAGTACATAGAGAGCTTCATGGAATGGGTTTCCATGGCCGAGCAGCTGCATCCAAGTCTTACATCACCAAGTGCAATGTGAATCATCAGGTGCAGTGGTGTAAGGCACGCCACCACTGGACTCTAGAGCAGAGGAGATGTGTTCTCTGGAGTGACTAATCACGCTTCTCTGTCTGGCAATCTGATGGGCGTGTCTGGGTTTGCCGGTTGCCAGGAGAACTTGCCTGACTGCATTGTGCTAAGTAAAGTTTGGTGGAGGGGGGATTATGGTGTGGGGTTGTTTTTCAGGGGTTGGGCTTGGCCCCTTAGTTCCAGTGAAGGGAACTCTTAAGGTGTCAGCAAACCAAGATATTTTGGACAACTTCATGCTCCCAACTTTGTGGGAACAGTTTGGGGATGGCCCCTTCCTGTTCCAACATGACTGCACACCAGTGCACAAAGCAAGGTCCATAAAGACATGGATGAGCGAGTTTGGGGTGGAGGAACTCTCTGGCCTGCACAGAGTCCTGACCTCAACCCAATAGAACACATTTGGGATGAATTAGAGCGAGACTGCGAGCCAGGCCTTCTCATCTGACATCAGTGCCTGACCTCACAAATGCGCTTCTGGAAGAATGGTCAAACATTCCCATAGACACACTCCTAAACCTTGTGGACAGCTATCCCAGAAGAGTTGGAGCTGTTATAGCTGCAAAGGGCGGGGCCAACTCAATATTGAACCCTATGGACTAAGACTGGGATTACATTAAAGTTCATGTGTGTGTAAAGGCAAGCATCCCAATACTTTTGGCAATATAGTGTATGTATATGTGCTATATCCAATACAATCCTATTGGCTGATAACAATAATGCATATAATTGTAAGCTCGAAAGAGCAGGGCCCTCGAACCCCTCTTGTATCGCATTGTATTGTTATTGTACTGTCACATGTATTGTCTCCCATTGTAATGTACAGCGCTGAGCGAACTATTGGCGCTTTATAAATACTGTATAATAATAATAATTTACAGTATACCTATATATAATTACTCTTCTAAATATGCAATATGCTTTTAAATTAATTAAATATTGCTTTCCATTATACTTTGGTTACTTTAATTACTTTGTGAATCCATTCAAATAGTCTGAATAAAATTTTTAAGGACCTTTGAAAGAAATTAGTTTAATTAATGATGGCTACAGTAAATGGTCTAAAGGATGATTAGTCCGAATTTTGTATGAATGCTCGAACAAAAATCTAACCGTCTATGGCAGGGGTGGGCAAACTTTTTGACTTGAGGGCCGCAATGGGTTCATATATTGGACCCGGGGGCCAGACCAAGAGTAGATGAATGATGTGTATGTGTCATCCATAGTAAGTATAGTAATATTCCCCCATAGTAAGCATAGTAATTAATCCCCCATATAGTAATTCATCCCCCATAGTAATTCATCCCCCATATAGTAATTCATCCCCCATAGTAATTCATCTCCCATAGAGTAATTCATCCCCCATAGTAATTCATCCCCCATATAGTAATTCATCCCCCATAGTAATTCATCCCCCATATAGTAATTCATCCCCCATAGTAATTCATCCCCCATAGTAATTCATCCCCCATATAGTAATTCATCCCCCATAGTAATTCATCCCCCATATAGTAATTCATCCCCCATAGTAATTCATCCCCCATAGTAAATAATTCATCCCCCCTATAGTAATTCATCCCCCCTATAGTAATTCATCCCCCCTATAGTAATTCATCCCCCATATGGTAATTCATCCCCCATATAGTAATTCATCCCCCATATAGTAATTCATCCCCCATAGTAATTCATCCCCCATATAGTAATTCATCCCCCCTATAGTAATTCATCAACCCTATAGTAATTCATCCCCCATAGTAATTCATCCCCCCTATAGTAATTCATCCCCCCCTATAGTAATTCATCCCCCATAGTAATTCATCCCCCATATAGTAATTCATCCCCCATAGTAATTCATCCCCCATATAGTAATTCATCCCCCCTATAGTAATTCATCCCCCCTATAGTAATTCTTTCCCCATATTAATTCATCCCCCATATTAAGTCCCCAAGTCCCCCCTGTGTCAATTCACTTACCTTTGCTCCGCGCGTTCCTCTCGCCGTGTTCCCGCGCCGTTCCGGGTAGCATGAAAATCTGTCTCCTATGAGGATCTGTCCCCCTCGACGTATCTGCGCATGTGCCAGTTTCAGGCATTACCAGCCGATCGGCGATCTCCGGCACATGCGCAGATACGTCGAGGGGGACAGATCCTCATAGGAGACAGATTTTCACGCTACACCGGTCTTCAGGGCGGACTGTGAGAGGAGCCTAGCGGGAGCCTAGCTCCGTGGGCCGGAATAAAAGGTCCGCCGGGCCGTAGTTTGCCCATTGCTGGTCTATGGGCAGCTTTACATTCACAATATGATACATCTGTTACAGTGCTTCCAAAGAAACACTTTGGGGAAATAAATACCGAATGCATTTTTGAATTAAAATAACTCATGCAGTATTAATCTCAAAAGTAGTCATTTCACTAAAAATCATATTTGCAAAATGCATTAATATATTTCTGTTTTGTGATATTAAGCTCTTACATTTTGCGTTATTTTTGGCCTTTTTTTTAATCAATTTTTTTTTTTGCAGGGTAACACTGCACCAGAAGGCACACAGCAATATTGTGAAACTATGAAAACATTCTAGTGTGCTTTCATTCACAAAATGATTTTTGCTTGGATTTATTTTTATCCCTGAGCTCAGATTAGAACATTTTCACACTGATACATTCTATACTTTTTTAACTTTCTGGCCAGTGCAGAGTTCCTCTAATTGTTATTTTGTACATATCTAAAATACCGCCAGCAAACGCCTGGTGATAAATAATGAATTGAACGAAGTGAATTGACTTTAACCACTTCCCGACCGGCCGTTGCATATAAACGGCTGGACGGTGGCAGTGCAGGGTCGGGTACCCTGGGAGCGCGCAGCACCGCGATCCGGTGCCTGCTGTGTCCTCCGGACACAGTGAAACACCGATCGTCGGACGGGACCTCTGTACGAGGTCCCGATCATGTGATCACTGATTGGCCAATCAGTGATCACATGCAAAGTAGTAAGCAAGATGTCACTTGTGATATCATTGCTTACTACGTGTGAAATCTGTGAATGATCACAGAGGTCACATGGTACAAGGCTATTCACAACAGCCTTGTACCATGTGACAAGCTGTGACCAATCACAGCTCACTCAGTACTTCTCAATGAGTGCAAGAATGCAGACAGAGAGAAAGAGAAATGATTGCTTTTACATCCTATATGGGTGTAAAAGCAAGCACTGTATCTTCAAATCTTCATCACCCCCCACAAGTAGTACAGTGTCACCATGGTGACACTGTACTGCTAAGGTGACAGTATGTAAACAAAAATTATATAAAAAAATAAAATAAAAATGTAAAAAAAAAAAATGTTTAAAAATTATAATTTTTGGTTATAAACTAATTTGGCTTATTTTTTTTTTTACTAAAAAAGATAACGGAATAAATTTTGGCAAAGATTTATGATGAAATATTATTTATTTGCAAAATTTTATAAAAAAACACTTTTTTTCAAAATGTTTGGACTTCATTTACATAGCAAAAAAAATAAAAATCCCAGCGGTGAATAAATACCACCAAAATAAAGCTTTATCTGTGTCAAAAAATGGTAAAAAATTAATTTGGGTATAGTGTTGCATGACCGCGCAATTGTCATTCAAAGTGTGATAGCGTTGAAAGCTGAAAATTGCCCTGGTCAGGAAGGGGGTAAAAGTGTTCGGTCTGGAAGTGGTTAATGATTTATCTAATGTCTTTGTGTGGTATTTATCTAATTATTTTAACAAATGTGCTGTATTTACCTCTCATTCGATATTTTACTTTGAAGAGTTGACTCTTGATATCTTGTGCGATATTTCCAAAGAATCAATCAAATGACCTTCATATCGCATGCGGTAACCTATAGTGAATTGACCAAATAGACCTGTACAGAACACTTAAATTGTCTTTTCCACAAATAGAAGCCTTTCTTATGTACTTTCTGATCTCTGCTCCTTATTGTAAATCAACTGATTCAGTTACAAGGGGCGTTCAAGTCAAACTGGGACTTTTACTTTTACAAGTATAAAAAGGGATGCTAGCATGGCGGTACTGCACGCAATAGTAAATGGTAACTGTGTTCTATTACTGATAGGCGGTGTATATGTCGCGGGCCAGTGCAGAAACTGTTAATCAAGATGGCAGACAACAGTATTAGTGCGTGCATGAAACAGCGTGTGGTAATGAAGTTTCTTATGAATGAAGGCATAAAGCCTGCGGATATCTACAGAAGACTCTAAGCACAGTACGCTGATTAGATGCTCAGCTGCAGTAGGTCACTTGAATGGTGTAAATGTTTCAAAAATGGCCGTATGTCCTTCAGTGATGATCGTGTGGTTCCCAGCCCACAGCAGTCATTCCTGTGAACATTCAATGTGTGGAACGCCTGATCCTAGGTAATCGATACATAACCTGTCATGAAATTGCACAAGAGACGATTCTTTCTGTGGGAATGGTGAATACAATGATAACGAAGTGAAGCAGGCTGTCCTAGGATGGTTCGGACACAAGGGCGGACTGACCATTTGGAAACTCGGGCACTGCCCGAGGGCCCAGGGTCAGTAGGGGGCCCCATGAGATGCCCCTGGTACCTTTTTCATAGGCTTTTTTGAGTTTGGGCAAGGACAGAGGGGCCCGATGATCCCCTATTGCCCGGGGGCCCCATGAGTTGTCAGTCCGCCCCTGTTCGGGCATACTGACAAATCTTTCTATGCTGAAGCTTTCCAGACATTAGGTAGACACTGGGATAAGTGCATAAATATAGCAGGAGAGTATGTTGACAAAATAAATGCAGTTTCCACTCCTTGAAGTTTGTTCTTTTATTATATAAACTCCTGGTTTGACTTGAATACCCCTCATATGATGTGCTGTGGGATATTTCTCCCTACTTAAGAACATAGCTGTTATGTTCTGGAGTTAATGTCATGAAGTGTAATACCAGGAAACCCCCCCCCCCCCCCCCCCCACCACCACCACCACCACCACATAATGCTGGGAAGGGAAGGAGCTTTTCTGTATTTTGAGAACAGTTACACACATGGCATTAGGGGTAAACCCTTCCAATAATACAATATTTTTTTTTCTTAACTCAGTTTAAAGCCAAGCTCTGGGAGATCTGAAACATCTCCCTTGCAGTGGGGCTGCACCCTTGTTGCAAGGGTTAATTGCTTGTTTATTCTAGGGAGAGTAAAAGCCATTTTATATATACCTGACCCACAGAAGACGGTGCTCCCTTATGCTAAGGTGGACTTTTACTTGATGTCATTACGTCCAATACAAGACTACAGATTTGGCATCCGTCTTAATGACATCAGGACCATGGATCATGGGGAAAAAGATGCTGCGGGGACTGATCTAACAGGGCAGAGGAGCAGAGAATCGGATAAGTACATTTCCTTTTTTATACCCCTTAAACCAAAATGAGCAGGTAACCCTCAGTGCAGGTGCAGCTCCACTGCAAGGGAAAATTTTCAAGTTTCCTTGAGTTCAGCTTTAAACGTTGGTAAAGGGTGCTGAGGCAAATGTAATGGTACGCAAAATGCCTGGAGAAATAGTGAGAGATAAAACAGACAGATAAAATTGGAAATATGTCATTTGATTGGAAATACCCTCAGGGCTCATACACACGGGTGTTATTTCACAGACGTTTTTGAGATTCAATGCTACAATGTTTTGGGTCTCCTGACTTCATCGAGTCACTTCAACATATATGTATTTGTTTTTCGGAATGCTAACAATAATATACCAATGGTAATGACCTGAATGCCAGTCTTCCCAAAATCGTGCTAGTCATATTCTGGACTGCCTGAACTGAAACGGCATATTCAAAACAATTTACTCATGTGGATATCATTGCGTTACACATCTTACTTTCATTAGGGCTTGTCAGATTAACAGATAGAAGTCATTATTTGCAGATAACCACATTATGAATATATACACCTATTTGATGAACGGCGGTATAATGGCATTTCTGTAACATTTGGAACCTATCCACCACTTCTGTACGAGGCAAATTCTTTTCGCGTACATCAAAGCTCCCTCCATGGAATACATTTTCTAATGTAAATAACTCACTACAAGAAATTCTTAACGGCTTCTGACATTCGGCTTATCCGCAGGGACATAGGGCCTGGCAGATTGTGGTGTGGAAATGAAATGTATACCTGTTTACTAGTTGCTAATATTTCATAAAAATCCACTTTAACATATCATTAGCAGATGCTCTAAAAGGATATTTCTTTCCCAATGGGGCAAAAAATCCTTTAAAACTTAGATTCGCTTTAATTCAATCTTAATAAAATTGAGTTACTGTCTACTTCATCCTTGGAGGTAATAGACATGCCACCAATATAGATCTGACATGGCTTGCTTTATTTGGGTTGTTTTATTATATTTGGCAGAAAGGGATTTGTAGAGCAGAATCAACTTCACGAGAGTACGTGGAAATTATGTATTTATCCTTTTTATCAGTAGGAAATGACTTTGTGGTTTAAAGTGGAATGTGTATATGGTTGCTTGAAATATTCAGTTTGCAAAGCATTGTTGGTAATGCCATTGGAAACATAAACAATAATGCATTCTTGTTTTAGTAGCAAACAATAGGGTGCCACTATCACAACCTTTGCCCCCTGTACTGCTGAAACATACCACTTGCTGCTAAAACATTGAGTAGGTATACTGGCTGCCCCCTAGTCTGCAGGTGGTATTGCCCATTTACAGATACCACTCCCCTGGTGAAGCTGGTGGATGGTGTTCTGTATCCCTTTATATTCTAGTAAAGGGTGGGGCCCCAGTGGAGGGGTAGATGGAAAATGGCTAACCCTGATGTTTAACATGTAGGTCTGTAGCCTGGAGCATAGTAGGCTTTCTGGATCTGGGCTTAGTGAGACACACTGTGTACAGACCCACTGATGGGGTTCTCATGAGAGATCAGTGGACAATGGCTGGACTCTGTTGTTTTATGTTTATGGCACTGAAATGTTCTGCGCTATGACTGTGTTGCTAATGCTCTTTTAGCAATTTTTTATAGCATGAGTATACGAAATAAAACATTTTAGATTTATTTATTATTTATAATAGCTAGGTTCCCCTATTCATATGCTAATGAACTTGCCTGACTGGTTCATGAAGCTCATGCAACAGGAAGTGATATCAGCAGGAAGAAGGGGAAGGGGACAAAAGAACTTGAACTCAGCCATGCTAAACACCAAGGGGAATAGTTTTGGAGGACTTTGACAAACAAGGAGCAGTCTGGAAGAGATCCTAGACAGAAGGATGAGGACACATAATAAAGAAAGACTGAAAATGAGAACTTTACCTGGGGATGACACTAAGTCTACAACCCAAGTTAAGTAACTTTTAGTGTATTCCTATGCTACATTGCCCATGCTCATTTGCTAGAAAGGATAGATACCTTGTGCATGTGTATATTGTATACATATTTTGAGATACTCTGTATGTCATGAACAGTTTTCCTAAAATTGTACAAAGTTTGTAGGTACAACCTTTTTTGCTTGGTAAAGCACGTTAATACACTGCAGAGGTTTTCAGACGTCCTTGCTTAACTGAAAAGTAACCCTAAAAAGACAAAGCAAAACATTGACTGTGATAAAGGATGAAGTTGTCAAACTGTTGTGCCTAACTGATCTTCAGTAAAACATTAAAAAGCTCATATGTGGACATTCTTTATTCTGGAAGGAGGGCCTTGGGACAGGAATGTGAGTACTGTGAAAAGGTGGGCATCCATCCTGGAGCATCTGTGGCACAATATGGTGGAGCTACTCGTTAAAGTAGGAATGCATGTGCCCTATATAAAGATGAAACAGGGCAAGATGGGCCAGCTTGTCAGAAAACCGCTGTCCAATCCAGGCCCCTTAGACCTGCACTGCTGAAACATACCATGTGCCTCCACCCAGTAGGTATACTGGCTGCCCCCTGTATTGCTGGAACATATCACTTGCCTCTACAACACT